GCAGGGCTCCTCACTACAGCAGCTCGGCGTTTGCTCGGGATGACAAGTCGGGCCGCCCAGCTGCACCCCGGACACGGCGTCCCCACGCGGGAACGTGCCATCGTACTGTCCCGCCGCGCTCCATCAGCGCCCAGGCCTGGCTGCGGATGCCGCAAACCTCACCGCAAGCCCCAGCGGTCCCTGTAAAGGGCATCTAGAGGTGCAACGCGGCTCCGAGTTAGGGATGATCACACCCCAGCAACAGGAGGTAAATGTGCCCTCAGCTTCTTCCCACCCTCCCAGCCGGCACAAAACCTGGCCAACGTTTCCCAAACGCTGCTGCAGGGGTGAAAACAGCCTCGGAAATGCCAGTGGAGAAACCAATCGCAAGCGGGTTCTTAACCACATCCCGGATCTCGCCCGCAGCACCCGGCAGCACGAGGTCCCATCGCTCCCTTCCAGCGTGGCCCTTGCCAGCAACGCCGGCCGACCAGCAGATCTGGCTTTTCGGCTTGCAGGGAGAGAATTAAGGAGGAAGAAAGGATAAACGTGTTTTCAAGCTTTCCTCTGAATTCCGAAGCTTATTCATGAAAAGATGGGAATAAAGGGTCAGGCAGGAAGGGGGAATCTCAACTCATCCAGTCGTGCTGACAGGGGGAGCTTTGAAAAAGGAAAACCACATAAAACCTCAGTGGTACAAGAGCTGCCACAAACTCCCAAGGCATCGGCTCCTGGCTGGAACACACAGAGCATTCGGCGTCCATCCACCCGACAGCGCCTGGCGCTGCGAACGGACGAGGTTTGTCCTTGGCCTGGGACAAGCATCGTGCCACCACGTCCCCGTGTTTCATCCTCCCACTCGGAGCAAGGGCGTAAGCAGCTGCTTGCCAAGATTTTGGGCAGAAAAATCCGTTGGCTGCTTTCGTGCCCCTGCGCTGCACCCGCTTCAGCACGCTGGGAAAGCTGAGGCCGTTTGCACGGGCACGCGATGAAGGGCGAGGATGCTCCTTGTCCAAGCAACCCCCCAAAGCACCCCAGCTGTTAACTGCTACCCAGCAAGGCCGGGAGAGCAATGATACTCACGCACTCAACCTCGGAAGCTGAAATTCCGCTAGAAATGCTCTCCTCCAGGCTCGGAAATCAGCCAAGGGACACAAAGGAGCCCTTGGGAAAGATCCCGGCCCTGCCCCGACAGCAGAGGATTCAGCTGCA